AATGTGACACCACAATACCCTCTCTTCCTACCCTCCATCCTCTAAACATATCCAACCCATCAGCTCTCAAAATGAGCCTACTAAATACATCGGCTACCAAGGTGAAAAGGAAAGGAGAAAGAGGATCCCCTTGTCTCAACCCTCTAGAGGCTGGAAAGAAGTCTCTAACCACTTCGTTAACTAAAACTGAAAAATGACAAGTTTTTAAACAAGCCTCAATCCAGCCACACCATTTCTCTCCAAACCCAAAATTCCTCAGAGCTTCCAACAGAAAAGACCAATCGACCATGTCATACACTTTCTCCAAGTCCAGTTTACATACAAAACCTTTCTTCCCCCTTCTCTTGAAGTCCTCCACACATTCATTTGCTATCAAGATTTGATCTATGATCTGTCTACCTTGAATAAAGGCCCCTTGTGATTGGCTTATTAAAGTTGGCAGGGCTGATTTTAACCTTAACGACAACACTTTGGCCAAAATTTTATAAATGCTAGTCACTAGACTAATGGGTCTAAAGTCTTTCGGTTGAACAGCCTCTTCCTTTTTAGGGATCAAAGCCAGGAAGGTGGAGTTGATCCCTGGACTTATAAAGTGAGACTCCGCAAACTCCTCAAATACTGCCAACAGATCTAACTTGATGATATCCCAACAATCCTGAAAGAAAGCCATAGTGAAACCGTCAGGTCCAAGAGCTTTAGATCTATCCATTGAAAACATGACTCCCTTTATTTCTTCTAATTCAAACTCCCATTCCAACTGATTTGCCACCTCTGAGTCCAATCTAGGCCACTCTAAGCCTCACATCCCCCTGTCTTTTGTAAACTACCTTGAAATGATTCGTGAAAACATTATCAATCTCCTCTTGATCATCCACTACTTCACCATTAATCTCTAACTTTTCCACGAAGTTTTTTCTCCTTCTTCCATTAGCGATTGCGTGGAAAAAATTAGTATTACCATCCCCTTCCTTAATCCATTGATGCCTTGATTTTTGTCTCCAACACATCTCTTCCCTTAGCACTATCTCTTCCAATTTCTTCTTCAAATTCCAATTTTTAACTTCGTTGCTACTCTTCTAACGATCCACCCAGCTCTTGCCACATGACTACTAGTCYTCCATTTCACCTTCATCTTCTACCTCCTTTCCTAAGCTCCAAAGCACCACTTCAACTTCTGATGCAAGCCAAATTGTTCTCCATTAGGGGTGAGCAAGAAAAACCAAAAAACCGAACCAAACCAAAAATCCGATTAATCAAACCGGTCTGTTCGATTTCGGTTAACCAATATAGAAAACTGGCGGATAACTGAATCGACTAGTATACATATATTTCTATATATTTAATATATATTTATGTATATTATATATATTATTGATTAATAAATATGCATTATAAATAAATATATATTTATAATATAATATATATTATTTATTATTTAAAATATAATATTTTATATATATTTCTATTTTTTATTATATATTTATATGTTTTTTTATAATATATATTATAAATATAAACAAAAAACTGATGAATTGAACCAATGGTAATCGAACTAGTCAACCAGTTAACTAATCGGCTTCGGTTCGGTTACTAGTTTTCCAAAAACCAGTAGGATCGTTTTGGTTTCAAAAATAGGCCCACGGTTTGGTTAACCGAACCAGAACACCCCTATTCTCCATCAATCATCTGCAAACAACTCCCGGTTACGGGGAATGTTTCTTGGTTTCACCCCCACGACCTTAATCTTTGTCGCCTGCAAGTCTTGAGTGTTGTACTCTACTAGGACTCCCCCACAAACAGCTGCAATTTTGTGGAAGATATGCTCTTGCCAGAGATTAAATGGCAGACCAAGAATTTTTAGCACAATCTCTCCCTCCAAACAGGTTTTCTCATTGCAGTTCAGCAACCAGTTTTCTAGGGTTATTGTCCCTGCTTTTGTTTCAAGAGTCAGCAAACCTGTTTGAATTTCCCCAAGGTCTACGTTTGCCTTTTTCTCTTCAAATGAAATCAGAAAAGTCTTTACTTTTGGATGAGTTTTTTCCTTCACTGTAATTACCTTTCTTCTTTCCCAATCTGTTTTTTCCCTTCCCATAGTATTTTTGGGACTGAGAACAAAGAGAGGATTGTAGCACCTGTTTTCTTCTCCTCTTCAACTGGCTTTCCTTGTCCTGCGCTTGAAGTAGTTTCCTTTAAGTCAGTCTTGGTATTTTCATTTCCCATCCCTTCTTCACTTTTCACCAAGAATTCCTCTAAGGCCCCAGCCAACAGTAGCCATCCCTGTTTTTGTTTACCTTCTGGTAAACAGATTAACTGTTTTCTCCCTTTTCCGAACAGTTCTGTTAATGTAATGAACTATCCAAAGTAGTTTCTTTTGCTTTCTGCTATAAATTTTTTCTCCCCTCTGCTTATCTCGTTCCTCCAACCTTGTTTCCTCACTGAGAATATAAGACCATCAACAAAGCCTTTGAACCATTTCAGCACCACCAGGTCCAGGATTATCGTTCCCCATTTGCCTTCTCTAAGCTTCAGACTTAAGCCTCCTTTAGTTCCGAGTTCCTCCATTAGCAGACTTTTCTTTTCCATTTTGATCTCTTTTCTCCTTTTTGTCGCTGGTGTGAAGTTCTCCATTTCAAAGTTCGACTTGGGCACCACTATCTTGCTTTTCTGACCTTGAAGGATCTATTTTCATCTTCTCATGAATCTGAATGTCATTTTCATTTGTGACACTCACTATGATTTTTGTAGACCATTTCAAGTATTCAATTGGTTTCCCCCACCCCCTAAGATAGATTTTGTGGGACTAAACCGGCCTTCTCTAGATGGGCGGATGGCATCAAGTTTGAAAAAACCTTTTGAGTTAGATGATGTAAAAAGAGCCATTTGTGTTATGGATAAGATATAGCCCTTGATCCAAATTATTTTTCAATGGGCTTCTACCAGGATAATTCCATGATAGTGGAATCACTAGAGTAGTTAATGTAATTTGTACTGCCTTGGTTCCCAAGAGATCAATACAAGTCACCCCAAGGACTTCAAATCCATCAGTCTAGTTGGTCACCTTTACAAAATAATAAAGAAAGGTCCTTGCTTTTCAACTAAAAGAGCTCTTGCCAACTATTATTATCTCCAAATTTCAAGGGGCTTTCCTTCACGGGAAGTAAATCAAAAACAAATTCTAATTGCCAATGAGTGTGTTCAAGACATCACAAGGTCAAGTAAGAAATGATGGGCATATAAGCTAGATCTAAAGAAAAGAGATCTAGTAGTGGCAAAAAAAAAAATTGTGGATTCAGGGCAAAATGTAAATATTGGATAAGAGGATTTTGAAATCCTTCCATTGCATGATCTTGGTGAATGGTATCGCTAAGGACTTTTCCTGCCAAGGGGAACTTAGACATGGGGATCCATCGTCTCCCTTTCTTTTACTTTAGTAGTAGACATTCAGAGTAGACTGATATCTAGAGCTGATAGATTGGGTTCAATGGATTGGAGTGGGAAGAAGCATGATCAAGGTGACTCATTTGCAATTTGTGGATGATATTATAATTTTGTGAGAAGATGAGAGAGAGTAAGGAGCTAGGAACTTTAGCTCTTAATTAAGTAGTTTAAGTGTATATTGAATCTGAAGGAACTTGGGTAAGGGTTGTATTGCGAGGATCTAGATTGATAGGGAGATGATTGGGATATATGCAGAAATCTTAGATTGTTTTGTAATGGAATGGCCCCTCACTATCTAGGGCTCCCTTTAGGAGGCAATCCTCGAGTCTTAAGCTTTTAAAATCSTATTATAAAGTTGATCCAAGTTGTCATATTTATCATCTTATTTCACTTACAAGTCATTTGCTTTTAGAATACTTAGTTTTCCTTTCTTTCAAATGCAAACATCTCTCAAAAATCATCCATACATAGCTAAGCTGAAAGGCTAAAAAACAATGGTCACTTCAGCTATAGCAATAAGATTTTCACTTTGGGTAGCAATTCTATATTGTTACAACTCCTTACCAGTGGTTTAGTCTAGTTACTAGTAAATGTCCAATGAAAATTTAAACAAAATGTACAGTTGCCTAGATTCAAGTGCTGTAACTTCAATCAGTGCATGAGATTTGGATTAAAGGCATAGAATCCAGAAATACATCCATGACATAAATTTTCTGTTTGTGTACAAATAAAGGTAAAATGAAGAAATGCCCACCTTTCAAAAAATAGAAAATACAAGTCAGTTCTTATTGGACAAACAAAGGAAGAAACCTGAAGTAATTGCCTTGCTTACAGGTTCAAGGCTTGGCAAATGTAGCTACTATATATTTAGTTCTGAAAAACCTGGAAGCTGCTATATATTTAGTTCTGAGAACCTGGAAAATACCATATTGTGTGCCAAGAAAGATGGGCGAGGCCATGATAGCTCATGTACTACCTGAATGAGGTTAGAGATAATCTAAATACCTCACCAACAACCTTGTTTTGGTTTCCTAAAGTGATGAATGCTGCTGTTGATAACTTCGATAAGGCAGGCATTGGAAGGACATTTTTGTAAAGTGACAGATCTATCTGTCTAGTTCTTGTTTCAGAGAATGGGTTTACTATTATATATCTCATATAATGCCCATTCTATTATGTGCTCCTTTCTTATGATTAAGATAATCTTCAAGTTACTCTCCTCAAGAAAAAAAAATAACAAATAAAGAAGGAAGTTTCACAGAAACCTATTTCAAGGGTTCTTTTTAACATAAATCAAGTGAAACATTTTGTATCATTGGAAGATCTAATTAGATAACAAAATTAGCACATCTACAAATAAATAAGAAATCAAGCATTAACTAAGAGCATACCACTATATTTTTCTTGTCTTGATATATTGGAAGACTCATACTCCTTTGATTGCTTTTGGCTCTCATCAACAAGTGTGTTCTCCAAATCAACTTTTTCTGTCTACATAATATAGCATACAAGAGTAGTTTTTCAGAAGACCACTAAGAAAAATACTGGACTAACATTTAAATATGCATTGCAAACAAGATAAACTATTGATGCAATAAACATGGACACATAATAAATCCAAACTATGGGTTTCATAATAAACATGGACATATATATATATATATGTATGTATGTATGTATGTATGTATGTATGTATGTATGTATGTATGTATATATATATCAGAACAACAAAACAGAGGTAACATTGCCAATGGTGAAACTAATGCATTGACTTTCTACAAATAGGAGATTAATTAATATAAGAGATTGATCTTTAGTTTTTCATGAATCTATTTATAAAAGAAAAGGATTAGCTTGAAACTATGAGTAGGGCATTAGAAATATTCGTGTGTAGAGAAAATCATAGCATTGTTCAAGCATTACACTGTGCAAGCAACACTACATGGTTGCAGATAAAGTTCTGAAAGTAGAACTTTAAGGGTTCATCTGATGCAGCTACCAGCCTACCACCACTATGTGAAGTTGATTCTCCAAAATTCCACAAAAAAACATTGTCAAAGCAAGAATTCTAGAGAAGGAAAATGGTATTGTTTTTATCATAAAATTAAGCATTTTATTGATTTTAGAAAAAGAATTCTATACAAGTAAGAAGTGCCAATGCCCCCCCCCAAACAATTCTGGGTCAGCTAATGCTACCCACGTTTTTCTTTTTTATTACAAGTTCCTCCCTAGGGGAATCATTCCCCAATACAATTGACTTCTCTCTGCCCCTTGTCTTGCCAACACATCAGCCATGTGAGTTGTGAGACTATTTTCCTAAAGTCAACAACTGCTAAGGCTCAGTTTGGAAGGAGTACAAATAGAAATATGTAGAGTGCAAAACCTTGTATTTTGTATTTTCTTTTTTTAAGAATCAAGAAGAAATTTCATTAAAAGAAAAAAGATTACATCCTAACACCCTTGATTGTCTAGATGACACACCAAATACATTCTTAAAGCTTCAAATTGAAAAGGAGTCTACATTACAAGGCTGTAAGTCAAGGGTATTCCAGAAATTTTCCAACAAATCAGCTTTGGAGACTTGATCAAAATCTGGGAGTATGAGAACCCAATCTGAGATCAGATTGGACACTGTAGCTACCATGTATTCTATATTGTTTGACCTGTTCTTCAAAACTCTTCTGTTTCTCTTCCTCCAGATAGACCAACATACTGCAAAAGGATACAACTCCAAATAATCCTGGCTTTCCCACTGCCTCTGAGCTTTGGCCACAAAGAGAATATTTCTGCTGAAGTTGATGGATAGAAGCCACTCATCCCAAATAGGAAGGAGAAGATCTTCCATATGAAGCTTGCTATGCTGCATGAGAAGAACAAATGGAAGATTGTTTCTTCCTCCTGTTTGCATAAATAACACCAGCTGGCAAGATGTAATCCCTTAGGTTTCAGATGATCAGAGGTGAGGATGTCGTCATGTGCAGAGGTGAGGATGTCGTCATGTGCCACCAACCAGGCAAAGGCTTCTACCCTTGGGGGAACTGGGTTACTCCATACTCCTTTTATCTGATCTGTACCCCTTTCTTCTCTTACTAATGCTTTGTAGAATGACTTAACTGTGAATCTGCCTCCCTTACATTCTTTCCACCAGATACCATCTTCTATGTCTCTAGAAATGCTGGTCCCTTCTAATTTTTCTAGAAGCAAAATACACTCTTCCACTTCTTGGTCTAAGAGAGGCCTTCTGAATTTCAGATTCCATATCAATTGCTCCCCTCTCCACTCATAACATTAGGCTATTGAGACTTGTTATTCTGTTAACTTGTATAATCTTGGGCACACCTCACTTAACTTCCCTATCTCAAGCCACTCATCTTCCCAAAACCTCACTCTAGAACCTTCCCCCACTTTAAACTTGACCAAGCTTCTGAATTCTTGATTGAAACTCATGATTCCTTTCCAAACACTCACCCCATAGGAGCTTCTCACTTCCCTTGGTTCCCACCTGAATCTTATCACACCATACTTCCCAACCACCACCCTCTTCTACAAAGCCTCCCTCTCTCTCCCTTGCCCAAACCTCCACAGCCATTTCCCTAGAAGTGTTTTGTTTATTAACTTTACCCTCCTCAGCCTCAAACCTCCCCCCTCCTCTGGCTTGCACACCTTTTCCCACTTGACCAAGTGATATTTTTTGGCTTCCCCCCACCCCTTCCCATAAAAAGTCTCTTTGAATTTTCTCAATCTTCATAGCCACTTCATTAGGAACTCTTAGCAAGGAAAGGTAAGTTGGTAAACTAGCCAATACACTCTTTAGAAGTGTGATTCTTCCACCCAAACATAGGTACTTAGCCTTCCATCTGTACATATTTTTTATGTATTTGTACTGTACATATTTGTATTTGTACTCTTTCCAAACTGAGCCTAAGCTCCAAATTATTTTGCAAATGCTCCACTTTCATACTTCTTAGATATGCCATTGGTGTAACTGATAAAGCTCTAAATCATACTGCATAGAAGCATGCAGCTTCAGGGCAGGGTATCTGAGTGTGCATATTTCCGAAACAATCACCTTCTTCTATTAACTATATCCATTCTACTTGATGATTTTATTGAGAGAAATATCTGTCAATATTACTTACTCAAAATAGCCATTTTTAGAAGACAAGCCTAACCCCCATTCCCCCAAGGTAAAAAAATAAAATAAAATAAAATAAATAATTGTCATTAGAACACAATGTCATGAAAACTTTTCCAGGAAAATCTCTATAAATAAAAGAGAACCGACAATCTTAGACACCTTAACATAAAGGCTATTTCAGTTCCATGGAGCAAATATTTAACTACAAAAAGCAAAAGGTTGCCCTCAAAGATATTGAAATGGACCTGCAATTAGTAGATTTGAGAAGCATGACTTATGGTATGGCTATCAAATAAGTATAGAGGATGAGAGGAGAATCTAAAGGAAACTTAAATGTTTCTTCCAGAGTTCATTCAATCAACAATTTAAGAGAACAAATAATCACAAATCTGAAACTAGTAGGGTATTCCTATCATCGTTACTTCCTGGTTGCTAATATTTTGTTGAAGAAAACGGAGAAAATGGTATGCTCCAAAAGGATTATGTGGAATTCGTGAATTCCCACAGATCAAAATAATTAACCTAGTTTCCAATATCCCCCATATAAAAAATTAGGAAATAAACTTTCTTATTAAAATTTCTCATAATTATCATTATAAAATAACAAGATAAATAAACAGATTAGAAATCTATGAATGAGATAACTACCATAGAGATTAGAGAAGGCAACTCAATCACAGAGCCAAACCTTGGCTTGTGACGTCGTAATTGATTTGCTACCGAAGAACAAGCACAACAAACCGAAGAAGAATTCTGAATTCCATTTGCATGATGTTTCCTACGAATGGTTAGGTATACCTCTAACTGCCGTAGTGTGTCAAGGAGTAGTACTTGTTTCTGCTTGAGGAGCAAAAGCTGGTTCTGAAGTGCCGAAAATTCGCTCCTCATTATCTGCTCGCTATCTTGAATAGCCGCTTCATTGACACCTTCTTCCAATAGTCGCTGCCTCAACTTTTCCGTTGAAACAGTAATATTCTCTAGAGGAGCCATAAGTTCGCTATTCGACATCCGCGGGAACATGTCCTTCACCGCCTGTAATGCTTCCATCCATGCCAGTCGATCTTCCCTTGTCTCAGCCCTCAAATGCAGCCTCTTTGTACCGGTAAAAATCGAAAACCGCTTGTCGTCCGATTTGCTCTCTCGAATCGACGAAACCTATTAAAGAGTCGACCTAATTACGACTAAAATTCAATTAATTAACCAAAGTGGCAAACGAAAAATATGTTATTGAGAGACTGGACGGACCTTCAGGTGAATTTCACCGAATGGCTTCCGCTGAAGTTGGGCTTTACCGTGCCTGGGGCGACAAACACGACGCATGGACTCCTCGCCGATGATTCTTATTCCCTTCTCTGTTTCTTGATTGACATTGATTTTATCGGGGCCATGGATCTTGTAGTACGACAGAACGCCATCCTGGAGCACGAACCAGCGGGGGCGCCAGCCTTTGCCGTAATTCACCCACTTGTACAGAATACCGGAGATTCCATTTCCGACGATGTCATTTATTTTAACCTCCCGGTGATCCCCCAACAACAGTTGGGCCTCATTCATCGACGGCAGCCTGGACGACAGGTCACTCATCGAAGGCTCAACTCGCTGCGTCATCCGGCAATGGTCGAAATCGTTAGTCCCGCAGTTGTGGTTCATACCGTTGCCGTGAACGCCATTGCCGTGGTTGCAGTTGTTATTGCCATTGAGGTCGACGGAGGATGTCCGAGGATACGCATCACGGCTGCCAGCAGCCAAGTCGGATCTCGCAGTCGCGGGAGGTGGATGCCGAGATATGTCAAGCATATCCTTTAACTGAGAGGAAGTCGCTGCTTGGCTCCGCTCGGAGACGGTAGAGACGCAGCAGAAGGGATGCATGAAGCTGGATCAAACAATATATCATTCCAAAGAACGAAATCACCGTGAGCCAGAGGCAGTTAACGAAAGAGAGAGGGAGGCCGTCTTGATGCTCACAGGTGGCGGTAGTGGTGATGGACGAGTGGTGGTGGTTCGCCGGAAAAGTCGGCTGTGACGCTTGAACATATTTGACGAATAACTCTGTTGAGCAGAAATGCCGATATGGCGTCCTACGGACGGTTATTTATTTATGATTATCCATTTAGTTATTTTTTCTTCTTTTAGAGAGAGAGAGAGAGATAAAAGGACGGCGATTCCGAGAACTTCGCCTCCGCACGAAACAGACAGTTTCACGAGGGAGTTAAGGAATCCGGCGGAGTTTGACCGGAATCCGACGAATCCACGGCGGCAAAGTCAATTCGCGAGAACTCCAGTCTCGCTTAAATACGCGACTTTTCTCTGTTTTATTAATTTTTTAATCCTGTTATACAGATTTTGTTGCTATGTAGCTTCGCAGCCTTACAGCCGACGGCGCGCTGTATGGTTGACAGCTGGCAAGCTGACAGAGCAGGTGTGACGTGGCGTTATGGTAATGGAGATGGAACGTGGGGACCACGTGAGAAGTTCGGTTCCCCTCTGAGGGAGTTAGGGAGAGAGGTTGAGGTGGCGGTGAGCGACCGATGCGTAGGTTAGAACTGGGTAAAAGGAGGGACGACTGCAGAGGGAGAAGGATAAGTCATTGCGAAAGTGGTGTGGAGGATAGCACGCGCTAGGTGCGTAGTACGCCTGAACTGTTCCGAAATCGTGCAAATAGTGCATTAATGACTGCATGGGTTTCCCGAGATCACGCACACATGTGGACGGCCTTTTTGCACAAATAACTGGTCCGACCGCGAGAGCAGCTTATGACACGCGTGAGGTAGGAGAGGAATATTCTCCGGGCAGCCGGAAGACCGGGCCCGAAATGGTTTTGACCGGCTCAGGTGGTCCACGGGTGTATTGAAGGAATAACGGAATCGGTTATCGGTATATACTTTTTAAAACTTACTTACTCATTAGAATTAGTAGGTGTTTGGCATCGATGCTGAAAACATCACACCGTTTTCTCGTGGAATTGTTTATTTTTTGTTTGGAACCGTGTTCTTACATAAATATTTTCTGAGAAAACAGTACTTATTTTTTTATTAATAGAAACATTTTTAATATTGATCTATATTATTCAATGCACCGTTTTCTCAAAAAATATTGAATTTGGCATTGCTCTAAATCGCTCTTTTTCGATTTCCAAGATGTGGTCTAGAATAATATTTTTCTAAAAAATGACACCATACAAGAGGACATTGTTTGAAGCGTCGCTTTCTCTGATATGGCATGTACGTGGCACTATTTTTTCAGAAAACAACATCGAAATAATAGAATCATAGTAAGTCACTATAATAAAAAAAAATAATAAAGAATTTACGACTTGGTAGCTCGAGGAACTATTGAATTTTATGATCTAGGCCTTTTGTCGTCGTAGATCTAGTCTAGTTGATCGATCAAAATGAAAGGTACTTAAAAATTACGAGGAAGTATGGCTAAAGGCCTAAAACTACGTTTTTGACACTAGGGGTGATCATGGCCGGGCCGGGCTTTGCACTTATGATAAGGGCTATAGCTTAGGCCCGGGGTTTCGAGCTTAAAACATAAGCCCTAGCCCAAGTCTACACGGGCCCAGGCCAGGCTGGGCCTGATTCTGGACCAATGTCTTTCATATATAAAACATTACATATCTATAATATTTTATATTAAATGACATAACGTGCATATAAACTTATTCTATACATTATATAATATAAAATATTATATATAATATAAATTATACATGTCATATTATAATATTTATATATAAAATATATATATAATTAAAATAGCATGTATACATATGTATACATTATACACAAAATGTATAAGTTTAAATATATGCGAGCCGGATCGAGCTTGAAGTATTAAGCCCAAGCCCAACCCTAAAATTTATGAACCTGAATTGGGCCCGAGCCCAGGCCAGGCCTGAACACAAAATCCAGGCCTAAGCCTGAAACTTCTGAGCCAAGCCGGGCTGAAATGGTCACCCCTATCTGACACCCGGTTAAACCAGATTTAGAATATCCATTTCCATGTCCGATTGGATTCGGATTCCATAAACTTGCTTTTCGGTTAATAATATGTGGGTTTAACCACCTTGGATATTGCATAACATACCTATATACATATTACATAACTATATAATTATGTATATATATATATATACCTGAGTTATAAAAAATTATATGAAATTTATAATTAATAAATTCAGCATCCCATATTTATTTAAATTTATTTTGTAAGTGAGTCAAGTGACTAACTTTTTTAAACTTCTTATCTTTTAATTCTAAAAATAATAAAATGGACTTGAGTTAAATTAAAATCCAATCCTAATCTGATAAGATAAGTTTCAAATTTAATTAACCTAAATTTGATTAGATTTGGAATTTAAGTTTTGATTGGATTTTGGCGTAGCTAATACAATCCGTATCCAACTTGATTACAGCCCTAATGGCCTACTACCAGGGGTGCAAATTGGGACAGGTTGGATTGGGGTTTTGCTAAATTTTCAAAGGGAAAAACCTTTAACTATAGTCTGATGTAGTTGAAATTCTTCGAATCTAGCAATTCAACTTGTAATCCTACTTACAACCAAGGTTCAAAGTATTGATACCAGTCGATACATCGGTAGGTAGGAGTGAGCACTCAGTTTATTGGGTTAAAAATCAAACCGAATAAATTGAAATTTTGAAAACCGAACTAAAAAAATAAAAACCGAAACTGAAACTGAAATTTAGAAAAACTGAAAATTTCATTTATTTTGGTTAAAACCGAATTTTAATAATATATACTTTATTATATACATTATAATATATATTATGAAATCGAATTTCAGTATATTATATATTAATATATAAATATATAATATATTATATATTGTATATTACACATTACATATTATATATTATATATTATATAATAATAAAAAGTTCGGTTAATTCGATTAACCGAAATTCTAATTCCAAAAACCGAAATAGCCAAACCAATTTAACCAAAAACCGAAAAAACCAAAACCAAAATTTTCGGTTCAGTTATTCGGTTTTAACCGAATTATGCTCACCCCTACCTATAGGGCGTATCGACCCTTTTTTTAAAACTATACTTATTTTTTGTCGATTTTAATTCAAAGAGGCCAGTTTAAATACCAGCTACCCTCTGAACCAAGCCCTGACCCAATACAATCGCTATAAAAGCATATCGGAAAGGGCCTGATATGATACATATTCATCGATACATAATGATTTTTTGAACCTTACTTACAACACCAGCACTTTGATGAATCGCTGGTTCGATCCAATCCAAATGGATGGAGAATGGTCAAAATGGGTTGGTTCTAGAAGCATTTAGTGATGAACATTTAAATGGTGTTTGGTATTGTGCTAGTAGAAGTATCACGTTTGTAATAGATTTAAGCATTGGAAGTTGGGAAAAAATTGGATTGAGCATACAATAAAGTACAATGTTAGAATTGTTTATTGTTGTTAAATGTAGATAAGTGTCATTAAATGCCATTAGGTACACATAAGTCAAAAAGTCTCTAAATAAGAAGTGTCAAATGTAATTTTTTTTTTCTCCAAAATTGAATTTCACATAACACAAGGTAAATAATAACGCAAATGGCATTATTTGAATCAGTGGATGCCAAACAAGATTTTGGTTTGGCAAAGTCAAAATGCTTGATAAAACCGCTCCACGACACCAATATTATTAAATTCAAATCCGATGGAAATCAATAAGACCCATATCCAACCGATCTACATTCCTACAATTTTGATGAATCTTTTGAGTTAGAACTATTGGTCCAAATGAAGAAGGGTCAAGTAACAACTGACTCGTTATAGTTGCCACTAGGGTGGGTGAGAGTACGGGTGCAATCGAGGGGCCCATGGCTCAAAAGCTTGAAAATGAGTATATGTAGCGAGGGGGCCCATGCTTTTGGGGCTAATGACAAACCACTTGGTATATATAACTTAGAATTAGATTTGTGTGCAAATGGAAAATTAAACAAAATAAGATTTTCTTTTCAATTTTTTTGCATGTCTTTATAAATAAAAGGAAACTTGTGCAAAATTGCATTTGGTTTCAAAATTAATCCAAAAAAATAAATTTTGTTTCCTATAAAAATCACAATTAAAACTTAAAAATCAAGAAATATTTTACTTATGYTAACCCAAAATGCAAAAATTTTACCTCCAAGAACGTTATTAAATCTCAGAGTCATAAACTTAAAGGTCATTAAATTACAAAATTATAGTTACTTAATTGTTTAGGTAATTTTATTAATTTATATAAGGGTAAAAGCTCAAATCTCTCTCTCACTCTCTCTCTTAATTTATTTTTATTTATCAATTTATATAAATTTTATTAATTTATATAAGGGTAATTTGACTAAGGTGTTTTGTCCACAATGTAGGAGTGGCCACGAGCCAAGCCTTTCACAAGCCATATACATATATGCATACATACGTACATTCATACATGCATGCATGCATACATACATACATACATACATACATACATACATACATACATACATACATACATACATACTATATAATAAATAATTTTATTATATATAATAATATTTTTATTAATACAATATTTTTATTTTTATGTATAATAGTAAATCATTTTTATAATTCTTAATTTTTTGTCTAAAAAATAAAAGAAAAATAATTTTATACATATAATTTTTATTTTTTAAAAAAACTTGGCTTATAGTTGAGCTCGAGCCCAGTCAAGCTCGAACTTTCAAGCTATGAACCGAACCAAGATCGAGCTCAAGTCTCTAGATCAAATCAAGCTTGAGCTTAAGCCTGATACTATTCATGCAAGCCGAGCTCGAATAGCCAAAGTATTCAGTTTGGCTCAGCTCGAATCCACCCCTATAGAAAATAAGAGTAAATAGATCTCACATCTAACTAAACCTTTAACAAAGGCTTAATTAAAGTTATGGTTTAATTAAGGTCTTAATATTAGGCTTAATTAAGGGTTATCTCAGGAAGAGAGGAATTGAGAAGAACTAAGAATCTATATATATATACTAAAGTAGTGGAGGCCACGTCAAATGGCCTCTTGGAAGTGCAAGATTTACTTCTAAGAGCACTAGGAGTTGCCACCTCAGCATGGCAATCTCCCTTTCCCACCCTAATAGAAGCATGTATTCTCAAATTTGTTTACTTCTTAATTCTCACTTTCCAACTACTTAGAAATCTTCCTAATATCTCTCTCTCTCTACACACCCCTAAAACATCTCCAATACATTAGGAAACTTCTCCAATTTTCATGCTACCTTTAGTGCACCCTCTTTATCTTTTTTAT